GGGGGGGGGGGGGTGATACCTGCCCTCCCGTGCTCATGACAGAGACAGGATGCAGGAGCTGAGCTAGGACAAGAAAACAGACTTTTCCCCCCTCTAGTCATGCCACTTCTGCCCGTCTCCCACAGACCAGGCGTGCTGGGAGGTCTCAGCCAGCCCCAGAGAGCCCTGGGGTGCCGTGACGTCCTTTTTAGGGGGCTGGGCAATATTAGCTGTGCAAACGCCGATGCGGGATTTGCAAACGAAACCCAGAGGAATTGGGAGCACCACAACCATCCTGCCCGGCTGGACCTCGCCGAGTCCTTCTGCCAGCAGAACAGCTCTAGTCTTTCCGCAAGCGGAAGCTGGGAGCGGTGTTTTTGGAGGGGGCCTGGGGTCCCATGAGGCCGAGAGCAAGCGGCGAGGGATCTACAATCGCATTCGACTGCTTTATGGGGAGGCCCCCCGCAATCAGTGCTTCACCCGTGAGGGCGCCTGTGTGGAGAGAGCTGCGCTGGCACAAAGGGGTGCCCGCCTCAGTACTCCAAAGACGCGCCGATTTGTGACAGCTGATTTCGGGGTGGGATGACAAGCATGGTAGGCGAAGCCATACAGTAACTGCATAGCTTTTCCATTCAGAAACCCTCCCCAGCACCGGAAGGGAAGATCAGGGCATCCGAGAGTCCCCAGCAGTAAGGGAGCCCTCCACGCTACCGGGTGGAGAAGTTTTATTGGCTTTATTTCCAGAGCATTAAAAGTGACAGCATCCACTAGGGACAGGGGGAGGTGAAAAAAGACCCAGAGGCAGCAGGGTCAGGGAACCTGCTTGCCCACCCCCTGCCCAGGCTGCCAAGCGGGCTCCAGGCCAGCATCCGCGGTGAGAACATCGAGTCCCAGCTGAAGCGCCTGGAGGTCGCCGCGGGCCCGGGGCAGCGCGGGGTCTGCCCGGGGGCAGGAGCCCTCAGTCGAAGGGGCTCTGGCACTGCTGGCAGTCCCGCATGTCCTCCGAGTAGCTCTCGATCTGGATGGTGGTGGTGTGGAAGTGGAACTCGTGCTGCAGGCGGGCGCTGGCCTCCTTCAGCACAGCCTGAGCCTCCGCGTTCTCGTCTGGGGGGCGCGCGGGCCCGGGGGGAGAGGGCACAGGAGGGGCCAAAGCTTCACTTCTGCTCTGACGTCTCTCCGAAAGACGCCGGAGGCAGGAATCGCGGGGCCGCGTTGTGACAAGTGCCCGCCTTGGTCCGTCCTGTGGGTTTCCCACAGTCCCCCCCCCCCCC